TTGATGTTCTGAGCTTTCAGCTGAGTTAAGTGTCTGCAGCTGAAATCAGTGGATGCAGCAGACACCCAGATCCTGTGAAATTTTACATCTCCATATTTCAAACAGGATGGTCAGACACCGAGCTGCCTTCAGAGCTAGCGGGCACGTTTGAAAAGCCTGGCCCATGGTCAGTGTAGGCAGAGACAACAGTTGTTTCACTGGTTCTGGGAATCTTTTTCTGTGGTTTGGTGCTATCTGGTTTAGACTAGAGAAGAAAATGTGAAAATCCAAACACCCAGCTTCATTGTGCAAGCTGCGCACATTTAGCTTTTTAATTTTTAAGAAAATATTAAAACATATCTGCAAAAGCTGTTACTACAGATGTCTGTCATTAATTAAACACGTGAAGCAAACATGAAATCCACAACACAAAGTGACTTCGAAGGATGAGATTTAAAAAGGGCTCTGCGTTTGTTCTAACCGGTTCCAAATAACATGAACAATTCGGTTTTGAGTTGGGCAGATGCAAGTACTTTTAAAATATCCCATAGAAGACACCAGTCAATAGTTTAAAAATACCCTATGGGCGGGCCTTCTGCATGCATTCTGCAAACATATACTGCAGTAGCATTGCTGCATGCTTTGTGTTAATATTTCAGTGTGGTTATTTGTTAATGTAATTGCATGCAATATTGTCATGTGAGGGTTTGTGTCATTTGAACCTGCCCTTCAATATTTTTCCCAGTGCTGTGATTTATCAGATCATAAGAAAATACCATTAGATACAGATATGTGGATGTGTTTACCTAAAGATTAAATCGATTCTTCAAACTGCCATAAACCAGTCTATTGCAACAAGGTTTCTAGAGTCATTACAGTTTAAAGAGATCAGCAAGAAATGAGCTTATTGCTTTCATCGCAAAGCCTCACTCCATAAATAATCACTTTGATTTCAGTGCCTGTTCAGCGTGTGCAGCGGTATCAGAGGCCAGCCCTCGTCCGGTACCCGAATACGGGCACACGAGCTCATCATGCAAAGTGCTGAGCACCCCTGTGAAGACTACAGGCTTTCAGTGTTCAGCAGCTGGATGGATCGCACTTACAGGTCATATATATTCATAAAGCTTTGCAGAGGAGAGGGACAGTCACAAGCTGGCATTAGGAAAGCATTTTTTAATTGCATGAAATATAAAATAGAAGACAGACTGCAAAACTTGGAATCAATTACCTGGCAGTGATAAATCACCTCTGGAGAAGGAGAGGAGTAACAAGAAGGGGAAACAGGGATGGGAGATGGTGATAAACCATTGCAGCTCTCTAATTTGGCATCACCCCGTAGATGATGTGCAGTTGTAATCCTGAAAAGTCTCTGAGTCTCTCCTCTGCTGAACTTGCTAGTCGCTATGTAAAACTGCTTCCTTAGACCTGAGCAACCTTGTGTCCGGGTGTTACCTTTGAATTTACACAAGTGGTGACCTCACCCGTGCAGTCTGCGAGCCAGCAGCACTCCCCTGCTCTCACGTAGTGCCATCCCGTGCAATGGCTGTTATTTGGCGTCTTCCTTCCTTGCACGCCTGGGCAAGTCAGGGATGACAGGAGGTTTTGACTTGGTCGAGCTCACAGGGAGCACTGAAAACGGGACCCAGATTCCCTGTCTCTCACTCCCAGGCTCAATCTGCTACTGTTCAGCAGCCGCCTTATTTATCCTACCTCATGCTTGGTTAGAAGTATGAGTAGATGAATTTCCTCTTCAGGGTGTTAATATGCTGCAGCCTCCTCACATGTTTCATCTTTCTGTTTCAGGCAAATATACATGCTTGCCACTGAATATTTGAGAAACACCATGAGGAGGTCAGATCAAAGCTGTTTCTGATCCTGTCTTCTGCCCTGACAGAGCTTGGCAGTGGGGGCTAAAGGAGGACGATAAAGCCCAGGGTATTGAAGAAGTCCCCAGAAGTGCCAAGAGCTGCCGAGCCTGAGCTGTTAAAGAGTGAGTTGAGCTCAGTCACCGGCCACTCCCCGCCCCCAGACTGGGCCAGAACTGGTGTCTAGCAAGAGGAGATGTGCCACTGTCCCCTGTGAGCCTGCCTGCTTTAGTCTTTCCCTCGCGCAGTGTCTCTGTCAGTGGTACGTGGTTAACTGGCCACAGGCTATCTAAAACAGTAGAGGAGAGTTGCGATGATCTCCGAGAGTGCGCACAGTCTCTTTGGATGGGCTTTGTAGCCTGTGCCCCGTACAGCAGAACTGCAGTGCTTGTGATGAACAGGGGGCCGGAGTGTCCCCTTGGGAGGCAGAGTTCAGCCCTGCTGATTTGTCTCTGGGCTTACACAGACAACTTTCCTCATACAATCGCATGGGTGTGGACATGTATCAGCAGGTGAATGCAGTTTTGAGCAGTGCATCCCAGGATAAATCAAAAGCTACCTACTTTGTCTGTTCTTTTGGGGAAGACTAGGGGTTGCATTAGGTTTTCCTGACAGAATTGCTGTGTTACTCATCCACATGCTCGAGGAGAAGAGGTTTAGTGAACTGCCATTAGTATGGTCATTCTGGCTGTGAGAAGTCAAGCAGTTAAGTTGGGGTTTTTTTATTATTTGAAAGGTATAAAAATAAAGCGCCTGAACAGCTAATTCCTCTGGATAAGCACTGATTAGCCTACACCACAGCACAGAGGATATTCTAGAAGAACTTGTGTGATGACAGGGCATCAAGCAAAATCTAAGCACATATGCCTTTGCTTTACAGCCTCTTCTCAAAGCTGCCTCCCTTCTCTTTTATCACTTTCCAGATTCAATTGCACTGCACCTTCTGCTCTGCCTTATCAATAAAGAGCTGTCATCACACATCGCTGTCAAAGCAAAAGAGCAAACTGTTGTCGGCAGATATGCATACAGCAGCCCACTTAGCTAAAATGACATTCCCAGTCAGTCCTGGATAACCAGTCCTTAGAGGAAGTTGCAGGAATCAGTTATGAAACACTTGATAGATAAATAGGACTATATATGTAAACAATGAATTAATAAAGCACTATTAAAAAAGTTCCTGTAGCTGTTTCAGCATCTCTATTCTGTGGGAGAGAGTGAGAGGTAAGCCTTTTATTTTTTAATGAGAATTGATTATTTTTATTTAACAAACTATAGTTGGTGATTAGATGCAGTCATTACACTGTCTTACATGAAATTTTCCTCTAAGTGGTTGCTGAAAATAACAGACAGCTGCAAGAAACTTTAGGTTTGTACTGGTGAAACTGTCCAATTCCCACAGACCTTCTTTCTCTGTGATCTGTGCTGTTGGATTTTTTTTTTTTTTAATCCAGCTGATCGAGATGGATTTTTCTTTTAATGCTGTTTATAGGAAATTTGCTATTTGTCCCACTTTAACACATTCCAATAGCTACCCTGCACACTGAATTCCTGACCACAGATCAACACAGTAGCCATCCAATTACACTTTTTATCTTTCACAATATAGGAAAAATATTTAAAATATCAGTGACTGAAAATTACCACCTTATAAATGTCTATTCCTGTCTTTCATTGACATATGCACCTTGAGCTAAACGTGTTTGACTGTAGCCGGATCAGTCCATTCATCATGTGGTGGTGTCCTGCCCCCAGTACTGTTCCCCATTCATCCAGTCAGGGAAAATTAAGATGGTGTGTGTGTGTATATAAGTATATACACACATACATTTTTAAGCAGCTACAAATGCTGATATTATCTAAGGATTTAGTCTGCTATCAGGGAGGTCACTGAGACTTTTGCTAATGCTTGCCGTAACAGCAGGATCAAATCTTAGTCTCAATCCTACAAGCATTATATAGACCAATTTTTTTCAGGGAAATTTTTCCCTTGAGCATGGTCTGCAGCATTAACTCCTATGAAGACTTTTCTTTATTTGCAATAAAGATCTGTGGCTTAATATGTTCTGAAATGACATAATTCACATACAACATGTATGTGCATGCACATGCATGTATGTGTGTAGTACCTGATGGATGCATAATAGAATAATCTTTCTAATAGATATTGCAGTTTATACTGTATTTGCATTTTTTAAATGTAAGATATAATATTGAAAACCCTCTTATCACATTTCAGAAATGATATTTGGTCCTTTATGCCAACAAGGCTATCCTGTACATTCTGTTGTTAGTAACTAAAATAAAAGCATAGAGCTATTTTACAAAAAGAAAGATTAAAGTGCATAAGTACATAGGTGCAGATCCTGCTATGCGCTCCTTTGAAGCAGACATACTCTGTCCAAAATCAGGGATAGCTGGTTTAAACAGCAGCAGTTCTAGTGCAAATGACCACTTCTGCTGGCAACGCTTGGCCTTCCCAAGTGTACATGGCCTCATCCCAGAGACCTCCACGTACAACATTCCTTTTAACATTGCACATGGTTTACAACTCTATGAGCCTGCAGAATTGGGCCCAAATTAATCAAGGTACCTTTGGAAGCAAAACTTTTCTTGACGGCCAACTAATAAATATATTCAAAACAAAAGACATCCATTTTACATGCATCTATTTTCAGACCTATGTTAAAAATGGACCTTGAGAATACTTTTCAATGAAGAAACCAAAGGGTAGGGAATCGACGTCGTAGGGCAAAGTGATGTCAGCATAGTGCGATGAGCTACTAAGCAGGTTCCTTGGATGCATTGCTTGCCATTCTAATGTGCAATAACGATTATCTAGGTTTGTTCTTAGTATATTTTTCTTTGTATAGCTGTATATATATAGAAAGATATATCTTGCATGGAATGAAGATTCTTCAGAAATGGCTATTTCATCTAGCTCAGGGCTTTGTCAGATTAGTGGCAGCTCATTTCAATCATTTGAGTTTGAATTTATTTACCATATTTTGTGCTTTTGAACTTTTCCTTTTTGAATAATGTCCAAGAAAATTCCCCTACTGATCTACAGCCATGATATTTTGGAAAACGTGGTCATTTTGAGATGAGTAATAAAAGAGTTCTCTGTTTCCTAATACAATTTAATCAATTTGTGGATACTTTTTATTACGGCTCTAGATTAAAAGCTCTTAACAGAATGTCTAGATCACCCACATTGGCAGCTTGAAATAGTTCTGGCTGGTCCATCATAGACAGAGCAATTCGAAGCGCTGCCCAAATATTGCCTGATAGGGCAGGATGGGGAACCTGTTGTTGATTCCTGCTCTTTCTTTGCAAACTGAGAGCAGTGAGAAAATTGCTGACAGCCTCTCTGTAGGGGGGAAGAAAAAAGAAACAAGCAATATAATTTGCTTAACAACTAGAGTAAAACTTTCTAAAGTTCTATACTAAACTCAAGTATGTTATTTTACAATGCGGTTCATCAGTCTCTCTGTGTTATTCTTGCTTGATTTTCTTTAAACAAGTGGATGTGGCTTGTAGCAATGCAGAACTCAGTCTATTCATACCTCTGGGAAGATTGGCTTCATGCTATGTAGTTCCCGTTCATCTTAACTGTCTTAAGCTGACAGTTGGGACCCTGGAATACCATCCTTGATCCCTGAAGGATGTACTGAGAATGGTTTTGACAGTATTAGCTACTTGAAGCAGTTTAACTGGTTTTCCTTCTAGAGATAGGCTCTTACATTTGCTTTTAGAAAAGCTCTTAAGCACAGGCCTAAGTTTGAGTGTGAGAACAATCCCACTGGTTATAATAAGAGTACTTGCACTTAGAGCTGAAAAAAATGCTTAAGAAGCTTGCTGAATGAGGAATGTATTTTCTTTTGATAGAAATTGAGTAGTTCTGTTATGTAGAATTTGTGGATATAAGAAAAGTATCATTGCTTTGTTAGTGCTTTGTAAAAAATAATTACAAAATTTTACAATAGCTGAGATTATGTAGCTATATTCTGATTTTTTTTTCTTAGATAGCTCCAACTAGAAAATGAATTTTCACTCTGTAGTTATGATCCCTGACTTTTTTGTTTACACATTTTTGTTACTTACCTGTATGCCCCTAGGTTTATACAGCTTATCCCTAAATTGTATCTGGACCTAATGAAGCCAGGTTGTATTTCTAAAGCACGTGTGTAGGCCTCGACAGCTTCTTCACTTCGATCCCCATTTGCCAAGGTTGCTCCAAGACGGTTCCATAAGGTATAGTCCTGGTGAGAAAATGAGTTTTCTACTGTAGGTGTCAAAAAGGGATGTAATAGCTCATTTTTGCTTGCAAAGCAAGGAGGACTGCAGAAAATAACGGTATTGTATCTTCTCTTAATTGACACAGAATGTGAGGTTCTGACTCATGATTATAGGCAACTTTATATAACTACTACAATTAATCAGCACACAGCTAGAAACTGGACATGTATAAATCTGCTTCTAAATGGACTGTCTTGTAATTAACATTTCTATTTCAGGTATTAAAATTTTAATGGCTGAATTGACATCTCATTAATATTAGCCTGGTCAAGAGGGGAGAAAGAAAATGGCCTGTAAAGCTAAATTCTTAAAAGCATAAAACGTACCTCTGGCCGAACAGTTAAAGCAGCACTAAATGCATCTATTGCTCTGTTAAATTCTCCATTCAGGTGGAAAAGAACTCCAAGTCCTGTCTGCAAGTCAGGGTCTATCATATCACCATTCTGGTGAGCAGCCTCCAGGTACAAATCCTTTACTTCTTCAAGTAATGAGCTAGACAAGGGTGAAAAATAACTTAAAGTTCCATCTTACAGTTTTTTACAAATATTGCAATATTGATTGCATAGCCAGAAATTAAAATCCTTGTAGGGGATGTATCAGAAATGATATACTCCTAAAATTTGAAAATAAGCTTCTTTAACTTCATCATAGCAAAGATTTACTTCCAGGTGCTGTTATAAACTCATGTCTGGAATAAAAAAGTTCACCTATATAATGAAGTTCACCTGTATAATGAAGAGAACAAGCCTTATGAGGAGCAGCTGAGGGAAATGGGGTTGTTCAGTCTGGAGAAGAGGAGGCTGAGGGGAGACCTTATCGCTCTCTACAACTCCCTGAAAGGAGGCTGTAGTGAGGTGGGTGTTGGGCTCTTCTCCCAAGTAAGTAGCGATAAGACAAGAAGAAACGGCCTTGAGTTGTGCCAGTGGAGGTTTAGATTGGATGTTAGGAAAAATTTCTTCACGGAAAGGGTTGTCAAGCACTGGAACAGGCCGCCCAGGGAAGTGGTTGAGTCCTCATCCCTGGAGGTATTTGAAAGATGTGTAGATGTGGCGCTTTGGGACATGGTTTAGTGGTGAACTTGTCAGTGCTAGGTTAAGGGTTGGACTCGATCTTAAAGGTCTTTTCCAACCTAAATGATTCTATGAAGTCAAAGTGCAGCTAATGAACACAAGTGAGATAACATGAAGACTTATTAAAACTATTACAATCGGATGAGTTTCTCAGATGTAAACGAGTTCTTTACTGGCAAAAATAGTAGTCATTCTTGAGAGGACTAGATCAATCGACTAGCCAAGCCCCCTGAAGAAAGATGCCAAATTTAAGACTTCTGTACCCAGTGTAGACTTCATAAAACCTTTGTACTGACAACACCAGATGTCAGCAGGATAAGGCCAGAGTAGAATAACACACTTAGCAATTAACCAGAACTTGCATATTTTATTTTTGCTTATCCTAAATTATCTTGTCACCCCAAGGCTTGTTTGTGATAGGGGTAAAATATAAGGCCTGTCTTCAAAATGACAAGCAGTGAGATAGCCCTAGTGTTTTAGTTCTATATATTTATGCCTTTAATGACTTTATCATGCATCTCGCAATTCAGAGATATTTATTGACCTCATGAAATCACAATGAAGGACTGCCAACTCGTGAATTTTTTTGTTGTTTAAAATGGCTGTCAGCTCCCATTACAGTATGCAAGGCTGAAGTCAGATAAAATGACTACACTGTCTCTTTGGTTAGAACCAGAATGGCTTTTAAACAAGCAGATGCTACCTCCCAGTATTTTCAGTGAACTGAAGCCATGTCCCACTGCAAAATGGCTATCATTCCTGGATTCTGGGGGCTTGGCTGGGGTATAGGAAATATGATGAACAGTAGGAAGAACACACACATGTAGAGGAGGATACAGGCCTTGTATGGATTTGGAGGATGCGTGATGTGGGAATACAGAGACAGCAGACAAGGTCAGAGGAAAGTGATGGGAGCTGAGGGGAAGAATCTCTTTTTAGCTGGTGTTTTTGGGTTGGTTTTTTTTTGTTTTTTAACTTCCAGGAGTGGCATAAGATCTAGCCTTCAGTCGCTAAACCAAATGTCCTGTGTTGGCTTCCCACTCCTGCCACTAGAGACGTTGAGTCTTCCACCACAGGGAACAGGCTGGGCTTCTACAGATTAAGGGGGCACAGCACGGACCGTCATTTCTAGTGATGTTGTTAAAGCTCCCACCATCAGGATTTACACTGCGTTTACCTTTCATCTGATGTCTTGGACATTCTCCTGGTAAGTGCTGGGGACCCTTTTTTGCTTTTTGCTATATACTTGTATTTTGGATTTTGCTTTATCCAGTTTCTTAGGGCTTGATAGGCTTCTTGTTGATGGCCAGTGTTAGTATAACTTACAGCCAGGGCCATTAGAGCTTTTAGGTTGTTTGGCTGTAGTTCCAAGCACCTACGCAGAAAACAAAAATATATTGAGGGGTCTTTTTTAGCCAAACACAATTCTTGAATTCTTCCAAAATAAACTGAAAAATTAAAAAAAAAAAAAATCACTTACACAAGTAAGATCTACCCAGTAATACTTCGAAAGAAGGGACTTTGCCTTATTTTTCTGTGACAAGTGCATTATGCATATGTATACACGGACATAGGCATGCGCATTGCATACACACATATGTACATAAACGTATGCATATAAGTTTTCTTTTCATCCTTCTGGTTATGAGTAAATGTAGGTAGATTCATTTTTATAGTATCTGTCTAGTAAACAAAGAGAAGCTTTATGTAAATTCAAGTGAACAGTTGCAACTATACAAAAGAGTATTTTGAAGACAAAATTTCTTCCATCCCTATGAATCTTCTCAGTGCTCCTGAATTCTCAGTTTTTCTTTGATAATCAAAGCTGTAGCCAATCAACTTGAGTAGTCTTTCCACAGTTATATACCATTAACTGAAAACAGAATCTCATCTATTTTGTGAACATCACTGTTGCTTGTTTCAAAACCATGGGGATGAGCAAGCCCTGAATCAGGCAACCCCTTGTATTTCTATCCAGGTAAGCTAGTAAGTTACATATATAACTAAGTTAGAGTCTCCTTGGGTGAAATGACTTGATGGTTAACATTGCTAATGCAATTGAATATGGAGAGGGTACTTGCTTCAAATGGAAACATGAAAACCTGCTACAGAAGATACTACTAATGCTAATATTTTGGAACTGACATCTTACATACAAGCATACCATGATCTTCACATCTCTATCAACCTAAAAATGCTGTCAGTTTAGCACTGAGCAGCTGAAGGGAGCTCGTTCCAATTAAGAAAACCTCCTCATTAAAGAAGACTACAGAAAATATGCCAAGTGGCTAGAACATCAAAAAGGCATTTTATTTGCATTATGCCTAATTCATGTTTATCAGGCCATGTAACTTTTCTTTTGTGCAACTACTTAAATTGCTAGAAGAAATATTGCACTTATTTAATAAAACACAAATATTAATCACTAGTCATTCCTCTGAAGTCACTGGGAAGTTTTCTATATCTATGTCAATGCTTTACTTAGTTAAATGAATGCTTCATGTTACGAGGTAAGTATGATGTTAAATATACCTAGGCTTCCATTACCTAATACTCATCAGACCCCTTATTTAGTAATTATCTTCATCTACCTTTGGAGGGCGACAATGGCTGCCTGCTCATTTTCATTCTCTGCCTGTGTTATGCCCAGGAACTGCCAGGCCTGCAAAAATAATCATCATTGTGTTATTTTGTTATATATACCCAACTGCAATCAGAGTTACAACTAATGTCACTGTTAAGCAGTGGGGTGAATAAAAATAGCAGATCTGTCCAGCACTAACTACGGATTTTTCTATGGCGTGCATACCAACAGTACAAATCAATGCAGTTTTGAATATCTTAGGGCCTGATAACATTTATAATCAATGAATGCAAAGGTGTTCTGTCAGTGTATGACCACATGCTGATTTCTTAAATTTGAGTTGCTGTACATTTTAAATGTTGCTAGAATTCTATGGTGAATGGAAAATGGTGAAGAACAATTAAGTTGTTTAGGTTTAAGGGATTCTAGAGAGTCTGGGAATTCTCTTTGCTTTTCAAAATGTTGCTGCTTAATTTAATGTAGCGATAGATTCAAAGAGACCTACTTATACTGTAAATATTTTTCATGTTTCACAGAAAACAGACTGTAAATATATACTCATGAAAAAGACCAATATTGCAGAAATTGATCTAACTTTTAAAAATTTGCCAACATTCTTGTTAAATCAAAAATGTTCACCTTTTCAACAGCAGCATTTAAAAGATAGTTTGAAAACGTCACAAAAAGAAGGAAAGGTTTGAAATATTGTCTCTTTTGAATGCTTTTCAGTTTGCAAATCCTATAATTTCAAAAATAGATTCTCATCTTATGAAGAGCTGATCTTTATCTATTTCAGGGTATACACTATCCTTAAACCACTGTTAGTGTTCAGTCTGTTTCAGTTAGTCATGACTAGCAAAGGTTTGGGCCCCGAAGTCATTCCATCTTTGCATGCTAAAGGGAGTCCCCTTTTCCTTTATCAGTAAAAGGCACATGAGTGAATACCTCTGCATCATTGGGTTCTTGTAGAATAGCAGCCTCCAGGTATAAGATTGTAACTGGCAGGTCACCTTCTTTCATTTTTTTCAGTCCTTCCTCAAAAGCACCAGGCCAGTCTTTGAAGGGATTCTCGGTATGGAAATAATAACCCTGGAGAAGAGACATAACGGACCCATGGTGAAGCACTGTAGCAAGGAACGGCAACTCTCTAGAAGTAAATGACTCGCTATTTTCCAACTAGATGTAAACATCCTTTGTTCTATGAGAATGGTATGAGCTCCCCCCCTGAAATTTCAATGATAAAAAGTGTAAAAAGTCAGCATCACTGGACATTTATGTTTCTCCTCTCTTTATTTTTACTTTAGCTCTGAAGTTATACTTACTGGTACTCATGTTGGGCTTTCCTGCTCCCATCAAAGATAATGGCAACAACTCACACTGACTGCAATAAAAGCAGAACTGAACCTAGCATGAGCCCAGTACATCCAATTTGACGGTAAAGAGCACACATCAAGCAGCTGACTCCCCGCAGTGCTTGTAACCTGATGTCTGTTCAGTTAATACCCTGAAATCTTCAATTAACCTTCAAGATACAGAACAGTGTTGCAAGCGCCTGAGTTTATTTTAGGATTTCTTTGAATTTTGCCTTTTTCTCTTCTTGCCGCTGCAGTGTAAAAGGTATATGCTAATATCAGCTACAGAATATAAATCAAATTAGAACATACAATGGAGGGAATGAAGAAGAGAGACAGAATCTCTATCATTTCTATCCTCAACAGTGTTTGAATGTGCCAGCCCAGATTTTTTTATTTGGTGTGCTTCCTTAAGTGCCCGTCTTCATAAGTGCCCATAGTCCAGCAGTTTGCTTCATGATTCTTTCAGCTGAATTCAGGCAGTGTGCAAGTCTAAATGGATTCTCACTATGGTAAGGTCTTTTAAATGTACCCCACTCACAGACACTTAAAGAGGATGACCTCTTCGGGGTAAAATTAGTTTCCATGTCCAAAGAGTTTTCTTGGGTTCCCTTGAATAGCCGAGGCTCATCTCAGTTTCACAGGAAGGATGTACTGTATTGAAAAACTTTGTGTTACCTTCTCAATGGTTGAGATCGTGACTTGCCCTGGTGTTTCCTGGTTCTCTGAAATCCAGTTTCTGCGAGCCATTTCTTCCCATTCTGCTTGCATTTTATCCCAAAACTCTGTGTCTGACTAGAATAAGAAGAGGGAAAAAGAGAAGAAAATGAACCACAAAACTTTAAAATAAAATGGCAAGCTTTTAATTTCTTTCTATAGCAGTCTGAGTCTGGCAATTTTGCTAAGCAGTATTAATTCTATTAATAATCATACTGACTGAAATACTACAGCAAAACTTGGAATTCCACATAATTAAATTTCATCTCTTATATTGGAATGCATTTCATCAACAGAAAACTCTTTATTTCAGAGGCAGCGTATGTTCTATTTGAAGCAGGATTTGCAGCAGCTTACACTGCATCTTATTGATGCTAACAGCAAATTGTTACATAAAATTTGAAGGAAATGAATGCTGCTAGTCCCTGGCCAAAAAAAAGAAAGAAATTAAAAAAACCCCTAAGCATATATGCTAAAGAATAACAATAGATAAAAGGGTTTAAAAAAGAACAAGCATCCCACTTTGGTAGATTCAGCATCATTTTCAACTCTGTAGGACAGTAATGGCAAAGCTTAGACAGAGGGGTTTTGCATGAGAGAATTAATACAAATGGGGCTTTTAGACATAGTGGAGAAATATTGCATCATATACTGTGCTGGTGAGAGGAATCTATAAGACGTTATAAAATTGTACAGTAAGATTAACATTCAGCTCAAAGACAAGAGGGAAAAATGCATATACAGGAGAAACAGAAATGATGAAAAAAGAATGAGATTTAGGATGTGTAACAACCAGAATGAGGGAACCACTGTGGCTACTAGAAAATGATGCCAAAAAACCAGAAATAGGATTAAAAAAAAAAAAAAAAAAAAAAAGGGAGAATCCAAGTTAAGGTGCTACTTTGTCAGCCTCCACACGTTAGTCATAAGCCCTGAAAAGCAGTTCCATAGCAGAATATATGCTCAGTACGACGAGCCTTTGCAAAGTTCTCCAGTTCCTATAAGGTCATGGCCAGAGCTCCAGTGAACTGACACTACTGAGGCACAGTTTCCCAGCTTATTTATGTCAAAGACAAGAGCACAAAGAATTCTACTGAGGTTTAGACAGAACTATTTGAGAGTGAGGTGCTAATCAAAATTAATTGAAGGTATTATAAACTGGTCCAGATAGTTTTGTCAGAATCTTCATTGCAAGACTGACCCTTTGCTGCTCCATAGCCAGGCGTGATTTACAAAAATAGAGCTTAGTCTGTGATTGCATGACTTGCTGCAACCCTCCTTCTTAGGCACTTGGAAAAAGGAAAGCACAGCTCTTAACAGATCTAGAATGAGTCAGCAATGAGAACACTTGAGATTAGGTGTGAAGGATTAGGAGGAGTTGCACTGGCTGACATGAGGTGTGGTTGCTGTAAATCATAAGGCTCTTTACAAATGGCAAGGTGCGTTCCCTCTCTAGAAATCTAACAGGCATTTCCCTTTGGCTCTTCCTGTAGCGTGTGCCCCCTGATATCCAGCACTTTCTTCCAGGAGATGCAGAATTGTGCAAATTATGCAATTACTGGATCTGTGAAGGTACCTGCTATGTTCCTCTGTGGACTAGGAAACAAACATGAATCATTCACTCCTGGAGCGGAGATTTCACTCTTTGTAATAGAAGCGAACAGAACATGACAACTCTGTTACAGAACAGCTACTGAGGTTTCAAAATTTGCTTTCGTTCCAAATTTGAAGGAAATGCAGTCTTTTAAATAGTTGTGAGATTGTGCTGAGATGTCCATTTAGGGTTTGAAAAGACTAGGATAATGAATCAGATCTCTCCCCCTGTTACTCTTATCAGCCAGGACCAGCGGCACTTGAATCCCTTAAACTATCCTGTTCAACAGATGTATCTATCAACTCTTTTGCATTCAGTGCAAATCTGCACTGCGTTGAAGAAAAAATTACTTGACCATGTTTCTACTAGCAGTAATTTTGAGATTCAGGATGAGGTAAAGGAGCGGAAATTTCCCTTTCCTACAGATTAATATTAATAGAACTACTGAAAAGTAATTAGTAATGCCTTTTTAAACAGATTCACTTATAGAACAATTATAACTATATAATATATATAGATATA